AATCCATGGTTGGGAACCGGTGCTTTAACCGTTTGGAATTCTGACTGGTGATGGTGAGGGTTGGAGTTCAAGAACATCTGGCAGATTTTCCATCTCTGATCTAGGCAGGTCTGTGTTCAAGTCCACACTTGTCCTTCGGATAGATAATATCTTTCAGACTATCCTGCCCCAGAGTTATTTATGATAAACAATTCTGATGATAGAATTGAAGAGAATGGGAAAACCAACTGTGTTCTCCTTGAAGAAAAGTGGACAGTCACTGTAATAAATAAAAAGATTTTTAATGTTATGTACATACCTATTAATAAATTTCTGACAACTAAGGAAAGCCTGGCAAATGCATTTGTTCAACATAGCATATGTTGTCCATGATGAATCATGGGTCAAGAACTTCTTTATTTGGTGTCTGTGTGATTCAGTTGCTGATTTTCAGAAAGTCGTTAATAAAAGACAAAATGTTCAAAAGAACAAAGTTCTGTCAGTTTCCAGATTGATGCTGACACTACAGCTTTCATTGTAAGAAAGATTTATTTAATATATGTTACAATATATATCTTGCCTTTCCTTCTGTGAGCTGAAGGTGTTGTACATGGCTCACCTCCTCCCCATTTATCTCCCCAGCAACCCTGCGAGATGAGTCAGGCTGTGGGAGTATGACCGGCCAAAAGTGACTGGGTGAACTTCATGATCAAGTGGGGATTGGAACCTAGGTTTCCTGAGTCATACTCTAATAACACACAACACTAGTAATAGAATGGATAACTTAAACTATCCTGGCTGTGGACCACTATGGCTGTTTATTTCGTAGGGAACCTACTGTGAATTTAAAATCCAGATCACTGTGGTTAGAAATACGGGGTTTATCTAAACATTTAAATAGATAAAATGACTAGTGAACTGGGAGTTTAGAAAGCAACTGTGCAGTGGTGTAGTTTGTGGCATGTGCCTTAAATATTTGGAAAGCCTGTAGGCTATACTGTAAACTACATAGCCTTATTAATGGCTTAACGACTGTTTCAAGTGGAGGAAAAGAATGTACTGTATTCCTTTTCAGAATGCAGTGCACCACATACCTTATAAATTCTATAATGATAGTTGTAGCATTTTAAATTGGTTTTTTAAAAGTCTTCCACACACTTAACACCACTCATCCTTCCTCTCTCTCTCTGAATGGATTTATTAATTTGTTTATTTAATGCATGTAGATACTACCCTTCCCCCTATTGCAATTAAGGGCAGTTTACAACTGGTTTACAGGATTTGTTCCTGATATAATTATTAGGATAACTGCAGTCCTGTTACATGGAGTGAAAAACTTACTTTTATGAAGGGTGAAAAAAGACCTGGCCAGATGTAGCTCACATATTTTACTTTTGGAAACCCATAGATGAACTTCCAGTAAATCTGTGGTTACGCATTGGAATGGATTGTAAAGAACATGATATTTTGTTCCAAAGTCAACAGCAAAGTGTTCTTCTACAGAATTACGTGCAGAACTACAGCTGTAATTTGTGTATGAGTGTGTAGGAAGGAGAAGCAGAACCTGGAATTGTAAGTTAGCAAGACAGGAAAAGGTTTGCCTAAAATTTGTCCTTCCTGGTCTGTATCATTTCCACTTACCGAACCCTCTTGATGAGTGCAGTGTTGTCTCTGCAGAGGAAGGATTGGGTGTTTGGGGCCTTTTAGATGTTTTGGCCTGGAGTTGCCATCTTAACCCTCCTCAGCATCACCATTAATAAGGGAAACCTGGAATATATATTTTGAGGTCCAAATTCCCCACACCATGTAACAGTGCCATGTGTCAAATATAAAGCAGTCTCTCTGATATCATCTACTCCAACATTCTGGGTACAGGTGTGCTCAACTGCTGGCACCTGGAGGCTTCTCTCTGACTGAAATCCAATAGTAAGTTGTAACTAGAGTAGCCCCACTGAATCAACTGAACTTATAAAGTAGTTGACTACCAAATCCATTTTTGATTTAATGGGCCTGTTCTAGTTGCTACTTGCAACTGGATTTTAGTCCTTGCCTGCCTTAGCAAAACGTGCTTGTCCAGTGTCAATATCCGAACTTGGAAATGATTCATTGAAAGTCAGTTTGATGTACTAAAAGCCCTTCGTTTATTTTAAATATTCAATGAAAATTTAAGAATTTAATCATTAAATGTCCCCTTTGTTAACAAGTTGAATAAGGACTTTCATTTCCACATTATTTTAATTCTTTGGGGAGATTGTGACTAGAGATGGGCACGAACCTCAATTTAGAGCAGTGATTGTGAACCTTTTTGAGCCCAAGTGCCCAAACTGCAACACAAAATTAACTTATTTATTTTAAAGTGCCAATACTGCAATTAAAACACGAATGCTGAGATTTTAGTTTAGAAAAAAACAACTGCTCCTGCACTGCAAGGGTTAAATGCTTGGTTGTTGTTTTTTCCTATGGGTGATATTAACAAGTAAGTACTTACTGGTCCTCCAATCCCCCATCAGGCTAGACCAGTAATGGTCGCCATTGCACCCCTCCTCTGAACCACTGCACCAGCAGAGGGGAGTGCTGAAATCCGGAATTGGAGGACGGGAAAGTATTTCTCTATGGCGACTTATGGCTCGTGTGCCCACAGAGAGGGCTCTGTGTGCCAGCTGTGGCGCATGTGCCATAGATTCGCCATCACTGATTTAGAGGTTTGTGCTGTTTTGTATGCGTGTTCTCTTCCACTGCCTCCCTGGCTGGTTCCCCCATTCACCAGCCGGCACATGCTCCTCTCCTCCTCCTCTTGGGCTGTTTGACCGTCTCCAGCAAGAGCATGGGTTTCCGTGCCCCACCTGATCACCCACTCAGACAAGAAGGCAGGACAGGCAAACCAGTATTCCTGCCAGGGACTGGTCAGACTGCTGAAGAGGAGGAGAAGAGGGACGTGTTCTGACTGGTGAGCGGGTCATTGGCCAGGGAGGCAGGGAAAGGGAAGCATACAAACTAGCATGAACCTCCAAACTGAGGTCCATGCCCATCTCTAATTGTGACTAATTTTAGCATTATAAATAACTGCTGTTTTTTTAAAAAAATGAAACAATTGAGATGAATGTTTTCTTATGCATTATCAACAATTACTGGAGCAAGTTAAATTTTATATCTCTTGCCAAAATGTTTAACACTGTTAATTTAGATTTTTATTTGATGCTAACATGTTAGCACAAGCACTGATGTTTTCAGGCTATCATTCACATACCATCTTAATTTCACATAGTAATCGCCTCTTCTCGATTCATTCCGTGGATCTTTTAATGCCCACTGTGTAAAATAAGTTGGGATCATTACTGCTTTGAGAAGGGCAAATATATTTTCTGTGCTGTGTGAGATTGTTAGGCAACCAGCTGCCATTGTAAACAGGGAGTACACTTTATTGGGGTACCCACATATAAAGTTAGTCGTCAAGGTCTTCTTAAGATTTGTTCCCTAAAGAGGACTTAGCTCAAGCTCTACTAGGAATCATTATTCTCTGGGAGAGGGGTTTGATAGATCAAAGGTTCCTCACCACAAGTCAAATTCAGGATCAGCCAATGGTGCTGGGGATGCCTGAATGGTTGTTGTGGGTTTTTCGGGCTTCTTGGCCGTGTTCTGAAGGTGGTTTTTCCTAACGTTTCGCCAGTCACTGTGGCCGGCATCTTCAGAGGACAGCAAACTTGCCTGAATGCATTCACAGCCCGAATCTTCTTTCACATTTCCTGTTTCTCACTCAAGCCCTACTTGTCAACACACTGTTCTTATTTGGAGGATGCACTGCCTTTCAGTACTACTTTTATGTGGATGCAAAGTACTTGATGGGAGTTAGGATTTGTTCTCTCTAAATTATCAGGGACTGCTCTCTTCCTTCGCCATACTGCAGCTCAACCTATTTGTCAGGGTGCCCTGACTCTCTGTCCAGTGTTTTCAGGGTACAGGAAGGGCTGTCGTGGGCAGGGGGAAATTAGGGGAGTTTTCTTTTGCTAGCCCTGTTGTATGTTCCAAAATCTGGATTCAATCTACTCTTCGTTGCGTTAAAACCTGTAGCTCAAATACTATATAAAAAGAAAGGAGTCACACATCCAGTGAAAGCCTAATAGCTTACTTTTGGCTATGTAAGGGTGGGAAGCCGTAACTGGGACGGCTGTGCAGGTTCTGCAGCTCACTGTATGTTACTACACAGAGGCCTGAATTGTTGTTTTTAACTTCCACAAAGTACTGTGCAAAACATATTAAAGTTGCGTTTTACAATTTTAAATAAGCTGACCTTGTAATTTTCCTAGAATATCCACCTTTTCAAGCTTTTTGAAATGTGCTAAAAATCAGAATCATTTTTTTAAAAAATTACAGTGCTACTTGTAAGCATACTTTGTTGTGTATGTTTTTTTAAGGAGTGTAGAGTAGTGTTCACAAGGCAGTTCTGTTTACACAAGCAACATCCATTTTGGGAAGCTTTCATGACTATTTCTGACTAATAATATAGAATGTTTGGAGTTCTGTCTCTCAGCAGGAATATACCGGAAGGGACTGATTTCAAAGTAACAATGAAAAATTAGAGAGAATGAAGCTTTTAGATAAAATACAACTTTAGTTCTCTTAGCTTCTTACTGAGCAAAGTAAACACATTTTTAGAAAAGATGCAGGCCATCTCTTTATGTTGTATTCAACATTAAGGCAGTAGAAGAAGTATAGACGAGATCCTTGTTCTGTAGTGCCTGGGCAGCTGGGAGAGTAGCTACCAGCACAAACCTCACAAAACCTTCTGAAGTTATTATGAGTTGTGGAATGGCCTGTGGGACATCTAACATGGACAGAATCCGAGTATGAGGTTTGATCCCTTTGCAAATATGATGCCATTTGCGCCAGCAGTAGAAGGTTTCTGTTTATGAGCTGGCACAGTTGTATGCAGCTATGTGTTCAGTGTTCTGTAAAAAGATAACTTAAAACAACATATTTAAGATATGCTTCTGAAACTGTTTTCCCCCCTCCTCTGTTCACAGCTTATCCAAATTACAAGTCTGGAAGAATCCACAGTAGATCCCCCCAAGTGTGCACGTCAACACGAAGAACTACAAAGGAAGTCAATCTGAGAAAGCTTGGTGTGGCAAAAAATGGGTTCAAGTTATATAATTCCAGTGTTTGCTTTGATGATTGGGTATTTTACATCTGCGGGTAAGTTGTGCTAACTTAATCTAAGATTTGTTGTGATCTCTGTAGTGAGCATGACAGGTCTTTTGGCAAACAAGTGGCATTTACTGGATGAAATCCAGGAGTAAGTCCCATTAGCGTAGCGCCATTGGATCAGTAGAGATTTGGCACATCAGCTCCCTCTGTAAGTTCTGTTGACTCAACAGGCTTGCTTTAGTGGCAACTTACTATTGAATTTCAGTCATTGTGGTTTATGCTGGTTAAATATACGTGCACCAGAGTAATATTTTCTGAATGCCCCTGTACAACAAGAAATAACATCTGGAGTTTTGCTATAGTTACTTCTTATGTAATTGAAAAGTTTAAAGGAAAAAATGCTTGCATGTTTCAGGGATCATCTTCTCCCATGTGATACTGCTGTTCTCTGAAGTTTATTGACGAGGCTGTCCTTCACATCCTGTTGCCATCTTAGGCTGTAGTCACACCAGCAAAATGTTTCCAAATTATTCCTTGTGAATCTTGACCCCTTTGAGGGGGGTTCAGACAGTGCAAGGCCATTATCAATTTTTTCATTCCCCCTCTGTGCTATCTCTGTATCAAATCCAGCCTCCTGGGAAACTAGTACTATATTTGTTCCACATTTCATTGTGCAGTACAACCGACATCCCATTGAATGTGTACGCCAAAACCGATTCATTTCCTATGCATCTGACATGCGGTCCCACCTCCCTCAACTACTGTCGTTTAACTCTCTTAATTTTTAAATTACTTTTCAAATGGGAATGTTGGTACATTGGTATACAGTACTTCTGTCAGATACGGAGCATCAGTCCCTCTACTGTCTTTTGACTGCCACTGCAGTACCCTGTGGCTTCTCTTCCATAGAAAGTAACAAAGCATGGAAATAGGAAGAAATAGCCCAGATCAGTACTTGTACCCAGTCTGGACCAGCCTCAAGGGAAGCCCCACACATTCCAGTAGTCAATCTGGGAAACGCCCAGTGGCCTCAGAGAGCTATCGTCCACATAGGGGCAGAGTTGGGCAATTAGCCTAAGCTGGTGAAAGGCTGATCTGGACACAGATGCAATCTGGGCATCCCAAGAAAGAGAGCATGTCCAGAAGCATGCCCAAATTCTGAACTTGATCCCTAAGCAGGAGGGCAGTGCCATCCAGTCTAGGAACCACTATCCCCAACCTTTCAGTGGACCCTCCCAGGAACATGACCTTTGTCTTGTCTGGGTTCAGTTTCAGCCTATTTGCCCTGGTCCTTTCCAGTATCGACACTAGGCAATGCTCAAGTGTCTGGACAGCGTTCTCTACAGTGATTGCAAAGGAGAGATAAAACTGGGTATATTCAGAGTACTGATGATATCTCACTCCAAATCTGCTAATGCTCTCTCCCAGCAGCTTCACATAGATGTTAAACAGCATTGGGGATATTGATTACCCCTGAGGGTCCAAGGGGCTGACACATCATCCCCAAGCTACAGTTTCTGGACCTGACCCTATAAGAAGGATCAGAATCAGCACAATGCTAGGCCCTCAATCCCAATCTCCGAGAGCCTGTCCAGGAAGATACCATGGTCAACAGTATCAAAAGCTGCTGAGAGATCAAGGAGAACCAACAGGGTACACTTGCCATTGTTGGCCTCCCTTAAAAGGTCATCCTGCAGCACAACCAGTGCCATCTCTGTACCCCACCATGGCCTGAATCCGGACTGGAACAGATCAGGTATGCCTGCATCAAGTATGCACCATCCTCTCGATCACCTTCCCCAGGAATGGTATATTAGCAATCAGACGAAATTTATTAAGATTGTCTGAAGCGAACTAGAGACATTTGACGATGGGTCAGACAATGGTTTCCCTTATGCATGGAGGGAGGATGCTCTCCCTCAAAGATTCATTTACAGTATTAAAGACCCATTCAATCATAGCCTCTTTGTAGCTTTTATCAGACAAGCTGGGCAAGGGTCAACTGAGGAGGCGGTAGGCCAACAGCTCACTAGGACCCTGGAGGCTTCCTCCACTGAAACCAGGTCAAACTGAACCAAATGGGTGGAGAGGTGGGGCAACAACGTTCACCCCCGGGTCAACTAATTGCTGGTGACATCAGGGTCAGTAGAGACGGCCTCAAGTTGTGATCTGAAAAAGGCTGCAAACTGATGGAAAGATCAGAGTGAGGCCCTGATTGACTGGAGTTAGTCAGGCCATGAACCACATGGAACAACTCTGCTTGTTGGTTCATGGACTCCCCAATATCCTGATGTTAAATGCCCTTTTTGCCATTTTTAGAGCACTAGCGTTCCTTCCAGTTGGGATCTTAATGGCAGCCAGATTATAAACTGACTGATTCCTTCTCCATCTGCTCTCTAGCAGTCTCCTAACTAACTTCACATCCTGCAGCCCCTTGGTATACCAGGGGTAAGGTGAGCTCTGAAGCGCAGAGGGCATTTGGGGGCAATCGTGTCAGCTGCCTGGGTCATCTCCTGATACTATTTATTGACCTTGACAGGTTTGTCTACCCCCAAGGCTTCCCAAAACCATTCCAGGTTAAGAAGCCTGCGAGGGTGGACCAGTTTTACTGGTCCATTCTCCCCACGGAGAGAGGTCACAATAGACAGGTCAAATCTCAGCACTGCTTTTACAGTGGATTTCCTGCTTCTGTAGGGAGCTGGACTCAATGACCAATGGGTCCCTTCCCATTCTTTAATTCTATGATTCTAAGTAGAAGGTGAGCTTACAATCCAGCGTGCATGTATTTGGAAGTAAATCTCATTGAAAGTGGGTGGCATATTTCTGAGGAAGGGTTTATAGGGTTGTTTTCTAAGCCTCTTGAAATCAGTTAAATTCAGTCAGGCATAGTTTATTCTGTGGGAAGAATAGTCTTCAGATGATATTGGACTACAGTTCCCATCATCCCTTATATTGGCTACAGTTGTCGGGTGTTTCAGTCTAATCACATCTGGAGGGCCATACAACTGCCCTCCCCATTCTTGATGTACTGACTTATAGCCATGGCACATCTCCTTCAGCCATTTTAATAACATCCAGCTGAGTGAATCTGCCGCTTTTTAAAAACACTTCCTTGAGAAGGTGTCACATATTACTAGGCTCAGACTGGGAGTCCTTTGGGTCAGGCGCTGACATCCAAGGCTTCTAGTTGCAGAAGGGGACTATATTCCTGTGAGGTCTCTCCCCCTGCACTTCCCCTTTGTATGTGCATCGTCTGAGTGCTGCTGATAGTCTTGGCAGATTGTTTTTGTTCTATGGACTGCTTACGTACAGAACCCATATTGTCATAACAGTTTTCCTTAGCAGTGGCAGCATTGCCAAAACAAGTACCAGGTTATAAAAACTGTGGATCCTAATCTAAGCCTCTGAGATGGACTCCTTTAGATTGTTAAGATTTGAGGGGGAAATTAATAATTCAGTCAGTTTTGTATTCTTAAAAAGAATGGCTCAAAGCCAATTCCTTGTTAGCCTGTTTGATCATCTTGTCCTGACCTTGACTACATTTACGGGTGAGTAAATGCAGTCAGATATTCTTTATAGTAGAATACCCTTTACACAGGCCACTTGAAGAAATCTTACTGACCCACCCCTGAGTGGTGCGCCACCGTTTTGCATCCTCTGTCCTAAAGTATATAATTGGCAGTCGGGTAAATTTATTTCTTACTCTGCCTTCATTCATGGCGGGAATATCCACAAGAGTGCAAAATCTTAGATATATATTTTAATATGGGCAGAAAGGCTTCTACATGGCAGTCCTGATGGCTTTTAGTGTGAACCAGGGCTTTGATACATTAGTAGTAGCACTAGCACAGTAACATTTGAATAAGATGATCAGATTTCTTCCATGTTAATTATTCACTTGTTTGTTAATTTATTAGCTAATTCTGCAACCTATTAAATCTTTAATCCCCCTACCAATAAAACTTAAAGTGCCTGTAACAAGTTATTCTAGAGGAGTTAAAATCACTTGCAGGTCTATCTATTTGCAGGTATAATTAGGGCTGCCAGACGTCCGGCAAAAGGAGAACATGTCCTACTTTTCAGGAGCATGTCCTCTGTCCGGCAGGCAAGACTAAAAAACTTCAAAATGTCCGGGGCATGTGCAAAGTGTGTTTCCTGATCCAGGAGCATATGCAGAGTTATCCACTATGCTTGTGGGAGCTGGAACACACACACACACACACACATAAGCAGATTTCTCTCGGCTTGAGAAATTGCAAAGGGTGGAGAAAATTGCTGTGTGTGTGTGTGTGTGTGTGTGTGTGTCTGTCTGTCTGTCTGTCTGTCTGTCTGTCTGTCTGTCTGTCTGTCTGTCTGTCTGTCTGTCTGTCTGTCTGTCTGTCTGCAAATCCATTTTCTCCACCGTTTGCATTTCTCAAGCTGAGAGAAATCCATGCCTTCCGGTTTTTTTCCTGGTTTTTATAAAGTGTTTCAAATCTGTCACACAACTTTTTAAACTTTTTATTTCACTTTATTATGCTTTTATTAAAATTAAAAAATCAATAAATAAAACAAGGGGGATGGGTCTCCATTAAAGGAAGGAATAGATTGTCTCCATTGGTCCTGGGAGCCCAGTAAGTGTACATGCAGATTTGTTTTATTTTTATTTTTAAACATTTTTTAAAACACGAAAACACAGTGGCCAGTGGATTCTGTGTTTTGCAGTCCAAAAAATGTAACTTTCCCAGTCTTGACCTTTTAAGACTGAGTAGGTTGAATGGTTATGGTATTGCCCCATGATCAAAGAGTTATTCTCCCCAATAACTAATTCCAAAAGTGACATGCCTCCCCACCCCATGCACAGAGCCCCCCAGTATGTCCTCCTTTGTCCTCCTTTTTGGCTTTCTATGTCCTCCTTTTCGTACACATGTATCTGGCAACCCTAGGTATAATGATTAAAATAATGATACCTATTTGTTGCTGACAGACCTGATAAATTTGCCCAGCAAATTAATCTTTAACAAGTTATTTTGAGGCCTTGTTGCGAACGTCATCTTAGTGTTGGCACA